CCGGGGCTCTCGGCGCGACCCCGCCAGCGCCCATGCCTTCTGCCCGCGCTGCCCCGCCGCCCGGCCGAACTGTCCGTGTCCTTGGAGCCCTCGCCGGGGCCCAGCGGCCGTGGCTTCCTCTGCCTTCCCTTCTGCAAAACACAGTCAGACACAGGGCATGGGGACAGTCGCTCTCCTCCTGCTGGTCGGCTCCCTGCTGGCCTCGGGCCTAGAAGGCGCTGCCTCACCCTCCGCCCCGCGGCGGCCGTTCTCCGGGGGGCTCTGCACAAGGGGCGCCTCCGCAGGGAGGCCTCCCCAAGCAGCCGGCCGAGGACGTGCCACCCTGTCCGGGCGGCCGTGGCAACCACACCCCCAGTGCTCACACCACAGGGCACCACGTCCCCTCTGTGCTTTGGAAGCAGATGCCGCTCTCTTTTGCAGCAAATAACGAACATGAACGTCACAAAAGAAGGACTCACACAAGAGTCCCTCCCCGTTCACCCCGCTGGGGCCTGGCTGGGAAGGCAGAAGGAAAGCGTTCTGCCAGCCAGGGCACTTCCGTGCGGGAGGGCGGAGGCTGCGAGAGTAAAAGGGCCTGGCCTGGTGGGGAGCACAGAGGGGAAGCCTGGGACCCCAATACTGGTGGGCTTCTCTGGGAGGCAGAGACCAAGACGGAGTCAGAGCGCATGACTTGCACTGGGTTGACACCCATGGACGACGCAGGGGGGTCGGCAGGCCAAGCCGTCAGCCGGCCAAGCAGGCCTGCCCCCCGTGTTAGACGGGACAGAAGGAAGAGCTTCGGACAACCGTGCAGCTCGGAGAGAGCCTTGGCCAGCTGCTGGGAAGGGCGCAGTCACCGGCCAGAAGGCTGAGGCAGCCACAGCTGGAGGCCGGCACCTGCCGCTCCCCACGCTCCACACGGCTAGCCGGTTCTCTCTGGAAGGGAAATCACGGCTGCCACACCCTGCTTCCCGGCTCCCCGGCCTCTTCTCAAACCAGGCGCTTCCCTAGATGGTCCGGTCACACCCGAAAGGCACGTGTACCCACCCTCTTCTCCAGCCCTCCCTGTCCCCCCTCCTCGGCGCCCCTCCCTGCTGGGCCAAATCCCACCCATCCTTCAAGAGCCAGCTCCGAGTCCCCTCCTGCGAACCGTCCCATTTGCCCCGAAGGGGAACACAGGGGAGGGACCGTCACACCAGCCCCATGTCCCCAAGTCCGGCGGAGTAGCTGGAACCCTGAGGACGCGTGGCTCGTGTCTGGTGGCCAAGGCATGGAAAGAGCATGAGGCGCCGTGTGACCGCTCTCCTGGCTGCCTGCCTTCTCTGAGCAGGTCCCTCAGCGATGAAATGGGAGGGAGGTGCAAGCATCAGTGAGAGAGAGTGTGAGCTAGTGTGTTGGACGGAGCTGTCTCCACCAGCCATCGGCCGCGCCCTCGCCGTCGACTCCTCTGTGGGCCTCCCCGGCCACTCACCACGGGCCACAGGCCACGGGCCTTTTCTGGCCTGGCCTCTCGACAGACAGCATGACCTGCTGGGCCACAGCTGCCCTCCTGGGGCTTCCACTGCCTCCCTGGCCGCTCCTCCTCAGTCTTCTTGGCCCAACCTCCCATTTTCTCCCAAGACCACCCTGGGGCCCTTCTTCAG